TATATTGTGTTTTTTATTAATATTGTTAATTTATTTGGTACCTACTATAATTACCACGATTATTACTCCGTTTTCATAAGGCCCACCTAATGACTACAACGATTAGGTAAATTACGATATTGCAAAGTTTTAATGAAATAAATAAAAAATGTGTATGAATATTTTAACTAATTGTACTAAGAATTTTTCTTTCATTCTTAACCCTCTCAAAAATTAAAAAGCACGCCCCCGATTTGCTGTCAACTGGGCTTCTACTCTCAATCATTATTGGTTTTAGTATAGTTCGATGTTCTTTAAAAACGTGTTTTTGAGTTTTTCAAACTAAATTTATTTTTCATTTTTCTATTTCGTATGCTATAAAAGCGTGTTTTTCAGTTTTTAAACTATATTTATTTTATCTAAACTTTGGGATCAATCAGCCGTATATTGTTCAGAAAAAGGATCATTGATATTTTCGGTTACGTACAGCGCCATATGCCCACGAATAGACCAAGCAATAATGTCGATAATTCTATCGAATACAGATCCCGAGCTTGAACAAACTGACATACAAACGAACATACATATAGACAGATGAAGCTAATATGAAGCGTGTAAAAAAAACTTGATTTTCCTGTTGAAGATTATCACTTGGTGATCGAAACACGTGTCGAGGTGTTAAAACAACGGTTTGGTGTTGGGAATAATATGCTTTACTGTGTTCAACTCAATTTCGATATTCTTCATGACAAATAGATTTAATGAAAAAGTTGTTTTCAAAGCCAGTTCTTTTCTCAGTTTGAATAACCGAGGATATCATGATCAAGATAGAGCCGTTTACGTTATTTACTTCATATTATTATTGTATACTGTAGTAAATTTCGTGAGACTCCAATATTCGCCCTCTAGACTCAAAAAAGCATAAAACGATTTTTTCTGGTAGTAATCATCAGAAAAAATGTGGTATACATTAATCTGATTTATGGGTTGTTTCATGATCAATAAATAATGAAACAACCTGATTATGAAATATTATGTAGCGTTATTAACCTATATTGAGAGAGTACATGCCTCATATCCTAACGATCACTAAATCATTGTACTATAACCCCCAAAGACCCATAGCAAGCTATAAATATAATATCACTAGGGCCCTTTTAGTTTCATTTTGAATTTTCGAAGGCTCATTATATATATCAACCCAGAACAATTAAGATCACGCCTGTCTCACTAAATTCTTTCTCGATGGTGAAACTAAATTGGCACTTTAAGTTTACTAAGGGGATTGACTTATAAATTTTCATTTATTTCCGTGTTCGCGTCAGCTTCGCCGCAATAACTTTAGAAACTTGGATCGAAGATTCCTACTTTATATTGATTACTTAGCAAATAATAGATGTAGTTCAGAAAAACAAAATTACAAATTAAATTTTGTCCGCCTACGCTACATTGTGACTTTCATTAGGTCTAGAAAAAGAAGGAATTTTCGAAAAATCTTCCGCCA